ACTCTGAGGGCTGCCTTGGCAAATCCAAAATCCATAGAACAGGCCATCAGGAGGAGAAATCTGGAAACTCTCAGGCAAGAACTGAAACTACAGTTCACAGGTGAAATTTCTTCTTCCTCAGGGAAACTTCAGTTCTGCTTTTAAAGCCTTTCAACTACAGTCAGCCCTTCGTTTCAACTACAGTCAGCCCTTCGTATCCCTAGGTTCCATATCCGTCAACTCAACCAACAGCAGATTGAAAATATTTGGGAAAAATATTGCAGCTCTACTGAACATGTACAGACTTTTTTCCCTGTCATTATTCTCTACACAATAGAGTGTAACAACTATTTACATATCATTTACATTGTATTTGATATTATAAGTAATCTAGAGATTATTTAAAGTATATGGGAGTATACGCATAGGTTATATGCAAATGCTATTCCATTTTATATTAGGGACTTGAGCATCCATGACTTTTAGTATTCACTGGGGGCCTAGAACAAATCTCCCATGGATATCAAGGGATGGCTGTACTTGAATCAAGCCCACTCAGCTTATGGAGAATAGTCTCTTTTACATAGTCAACTGATTATACAAGTTAATCACATCTACAAAATACTTTCACAGAAAGATCTAGATTTGTGTTTGATTAAATAACTGGGTACTACAGCTTAGCCAAGGTAATGTATAAAACTAACATCATTTTTATATTTTTTATATTTGGAAAATGCTATGGTAGTATAAAATGCCAAGGACATACATCTTGCTCAGATCTGATGAGACAGTAAGGGCATTTATCTTAGCTAAGGGAGTCAGATATTTTGTGAAAGAGATGATAGTTAAAATAAAAGCTGAAGGATGAGTAGGAATTAGCTAGATTAAAAGATGGATAACGAATATTCTGAGATGTGGGAAGAGTACAAGCAAGGGCCCAGAAATCAAAGAGAAAGAGCACTAGAGATGCAATTTTCTCTTGTCATCAGATTTCTTTTCCGGCTTTCTTTTTTCAGATTTATTTTAAAAGAAGCCAAGGTTTGATTCCTTTTTTAATTTGGTAATTATTATATGAGATAATTATAAAGTTTTTAGTGCTAAATCAGATGAAACTCTATTTCCAATTATGGGTGAGATGAAGAACCTTTCCATGTGTTTCCAATTATGGGTGAGATTAAGCATTTGCAACTATGTGTGAGATGAAGTACCCTTCCATATGTTTATCTCACATTCAGGTTTCCTCCTTTATAGATTGCCTGTTTGTAACCTGTATACATTATTCTATTGGGTAGTCTTCTTTTCCTTATTTATTATCTATGATTTGGATATTACTAGAAATGATTTGTTTTTATATGCATTGCAGGTATATTCTTTCAGAAAATATCAGTCAAAACTGGGAGGAGCTTTGTAGACTAAAATTTGTAAGGGAGTGCAAGGGGACCACATTAAGTCAGAGAATGCTGGGGTGATCTGGATTCTGGGCCCAAATCTTAGTTATAGGACAAAGCCCCTGTACTTAGCAGGAGAAAAAGGAGCAAAGAAAAAAAAGGGGAGAAGAGTCAGCCCATTTCAGAAAGCACAATATTTTTTTAACACTTCAAATAAACTGCAGAAGAAGGTGCTCTAGAACCTTGAAGCTAGGAAAACTACACTGGCTGTCTTCCCTTCTAGTGCAGGAAAACTTGTCTACTGAAAAACAAGTAACAGAAAGAAAATTAATCAAACCTTAAAATTATTATCAGAATAATATTCTTGCAAGCAATGTAAACAAGCCAGAAAGACATGCCCACAAAATAAGGAAAAACTATATGCTAGTATTCTAAACAGAGAAGCTAAAAGAAATTAAGAAAATAATAGAAGTTTCAAAAGAGCAACTTAAATTAGGATCAAAAGAACAACTTAAATTAGGTTCAAAATAATTCAGAAATAATATTACTGGAGAAAAGAAAGAGAGCAGGAAGATATGAAAATGGAGCTTACAAAACCAAGGAAAGCATTAGAAATAAAAGAAAAAATATTTTGGAAATGGAGAGAAGTAATACATTAGTGAATAAACGCAATGGAGAGTGTATAAAGAGAAATAGATAATGGAAAGGGATACATTTTCAATTAAAAGTATGAAAGAAATTTAAATTTTCTTCCTATTTTATTCTTTTATTATCTTTTCTTAAAATCAACTTTATTGATGTATAATTTACATACAATTAAATGCATTTACGTTTATAGTTTGTCAAGCTTTGACAAAGTCACTACTACAATTAAGGAAAAGCAAAAAGAAAGAAAGGAAAAGAAAGACTGAAAAAATGAACAAAAAACTTAGTTTGTACAAAAGAAAACAAGAAAAAAAAAAAGTAAAGAAACAGGCCAGATGGGACTAAAGTAAAATAAATAGAAGGTAGAAGACAAACTCAACTATATGAGAAATTATATTAAATGTACAAGGATTAAGCACACCAATTAAGGATGAAAATGGTCAGGCTGTCTAAAAAATGCTAACTATATGCTGTTTATAAATATGAAAGTTAGAAAATGGGGAAGATATACTATAAAAACGCTAACATAATATACATAGCGTGTCTATATAATATCAAATAAGCAGACTTTAAGATACATAGTATAACTAGTGATAAAGAACATTTCAAGATCTGAAAGTAGATCAATTCAACAGTGAGAAAAAAAATCCTAAATTTTAAATGCACCTAATAGCATAGTTTCAAAATATATACAATAGAAATAAAGAACCTAAAGGAGAACTAGACAAATTTATATAATTGTATAATTTAACTTATATCTGTTATTAGCTTATAGAAAAAACAGTAAAAAAAAAAAAAATACTGTATGGCTGGGTGCTGTAGCTCATGCCTGTAATCTCAGCACTTTGGGAAGCCAAGGCAGGTGGATCACCTGAAGTCGGGAGTTCGAGACCAGCCTGACCAACATGGAGAAATCCCATCTCTACTAAAAATACAAAAAGTAGCCACGCATGGTGTTTCATGCCTGTAATCCCAGCTATTTGGGAGGCTGAGGCAGGAGAATCACTTGAACCCAGGAGGCAGAGGTTGTGGTGAGCCAAGATCACGCCATTGCACTCCAGCCTGGGCAACAAGCAACAAGAGTGAAACTCCGTCTCAAAAAAAAAAAAAAAAAAAGGGTCTATGAGATTTTAACAACACAATTAAGCATCTTGACCCAATCGGCCTATATACAATGTTACATTCAACAACTCCAGAATATACAATCTTTGAAGGATACGTGGAACATTTACCAAAATAGATCATATGCTAATCATAAAGCAATTCTCAATAAATTTCCAAGAATTGGAATCATTGAGATAATTTATCTAACCATTGTAAAAATAAATTTGAAATCAATAACAGAAAAATATTTGGAAATTTAGCAGTGTATACCTAAATAACCCATGTATCAAAGAAGCAATCATAAAGAAAATAACAAACACTTTTAATTGAAATATTTTTCAATTGAAATATTGAAATCAAAATATGACATCAAAATTCATGGGCTGCAGTTAAAAACCATTCTTTTAAAAAGTTATTATAGCTTTAAATACATATATTTGAAAAAACAAAAGGTTGAGATCAGTTACCTCAGCCTCCATCCAAAGAAGATAGAAAAAAAGGACATAAATTAAATCCAAAAAAGGAGAAACATAAAATAATAACAGTAGAAATTAATGAAATAGCAGAGAGAAAATCAACAAAGCCAAAAGCTGAGAAGATTAATACAATTCACAATCCCCTAGCAAAACTGAGCAAGATAAAGAGAGAAAATACATATTACCAGTATCCAGAATAAAAAGTGGCATACCACTAGCGATCCTAAAGACATTAAAAGAAAATAAGTGAATATTATGAATATTTTGTGCCAATAATTTTGACAATTTTGATTAAATATACAAGTTTCTTAATAAGACAAGCTACCAAAATTTACACAAGAGGAAATGGAGAATCTGAATAGTCCTGTATCTGATAAAGACTTAAATACATAACTTAAATCTCTCTCACAAAGGAAGTTCCAAGAAGGAAGAAATATAATTAATTGAACAGAAACTTTTTCAGAGAATAAAGAAGAAACTTTTCCCAATTCATTTAATGAAACTAGTAGAATCCCACAAAAAGTTATAAGGACATCACCAGGAAGGCAAAATACAAGCAAATATATGTCATAAATATGGATGTAGTAATCCTAAACAAACAAGAAAAGTAAATCAAAAATCATCAATGTGGAAAAAAATGATGATAGTGACCAAATGGTGTTTATCTTAGGAATATAATATTGGTTTTACCTCCAAAACTCAATGTATTTACCACATTAACAGAATAAAAGAGAAACACCAAATGATCATCTAAATAGATTTTAAAAAGGCATTTGATAAAACTTAAGAACCTTCTTGACACAAACTGTCAGAAAACTAGAATAAAGATAATGTTCTTATTCTGAGAAAAGATACATATGAAAAATCCCACTGTTAACATCGTATTGAATGGCCTTTCCTCCTGAGTTTTAAACACAGTGAAGATGTTCACTATCCTCAATCAGTTCTTTTCAATATTACTCTGGATGTCAACAAATATTCTCAAGGCATTTCAACATCAATTAAGCCTAAGGATTTTACTTAATTTCCTGTGTATTTGGTTATTCAGAAACGAGAAACATTTCCATGAGTTCTATTTCAGTTTTCTTTTTTACAGATGAACTAATTCATCACATTGTAAAGGGCGCTTAGCTCTTATCTGGACAGTCTTTGTTGCCATCTGCTGGTGATCAGCCGCTCTACCTGAAATCTACCCTCCACCTTAGAAAGGGAAGGAATGGGGAGAACCAGCCATCAGAAATCGAACTGACTGAAAGGGAAGGAGAAAGTGTAAGAAAGAGCAAGTCTAAAACCTCCGAACACATTTGGGCACCTACTGTATTCCAGCCCCCATGCTAGGTCTTCACGGACTCACTAACTAGAAGCAGTAGAAATACTAGTTAAGAAAATGGAGTCTGGAGCCAAACTACCCGGATTTTAAAGCTCACCTTTACAATTTACTAGTTTATGACTTTTTAACATATTACTTAACCTTACTTGTTTTAGTTTCCTCACAGATTGTTGTGAGGATCAAAATCATTAGTCAACTATTTACAACTGTAACCAGCTCATAATCAGCACTAAACAAAGTATATGTATTTCACAATTATTCCATCTAATGAGAGCTATTGTTGCAAGAGCAATTCCCACAGTGAGCGATTCCACACCTTCGCATTTCACTTCCTAACAGATTTCAGAAACGGAGCTTTTTATTGTGTCTAATCACAGTCCTTCCTGCTGCACTGGGACCCCTATCTCCCCTGGAGCCTGAGAAAGGCTGGGCTCCAAGTCCTCCTGAACAAATCAGCCTACTGGACTCCTGGCCAGTGTGTTCTCTCCTATCTCCTGGGATCCGCCTTCTTGGTATGCTGCGGGGAGAGGAGGCCCTGTGTTGGACGCTTGGGGAGCCTCACCTGAAGCCCTCGGTCTCCTGCTCCTGCTCCAGCTCACTGGCCTTCATCTGCACATAGTCCTGCACCAGTGCAGCCAGCAGGAGGCGCGCTTCCTCCTCACTGAGCTTGGCCGGGTCTGGACTGCTCTCCAGGGCAGACCTGTGGAGGGAAAGCAAACTCAGTGCAGGCTGTGAGTCCCTGCCTGCCCCTCCCCAGCATAAGCATCCAGGCTTCCTCGTCTCTGCTTCTTCCGCTGAGGATGTGGCCACTGCGACTACCGGGGACAGGGCATGAGGTCAGGGTCCACCTGTGGGCACTGATTCACCGGGAGCCATGCATAACTCCAGAGGCATAGAGCTGCCTGGTCCCGGGGCAGTGGAAGCGGAGGCGCCCCTGGCTCCAAGCTGTCTCACCTGAAAGGCGCTGCCTGGAGGCTGCCCGCCTGGCATAGGACCAAGACGGAGAGCCAGCAAGCGGGAGAACTTCTGGGAGCCTTTGTTGGCTCTATGTAACAAGAAACATGATGCCGCCGTTAGGCATAGTCAGTTACTCCCCAGCTGGGGTCACTGTCACAGTTTTTTTCAGTCGTTTGAGGTAACCTGATATATTAGGGGTTTCCCTCACCTTCTATTGAGCGGTGCCAGGCCAGCTACAGCTAAGTTTTCGGTATGTTCACACCTGGATCTAAAGGCGAAAGCATGGTACCCATTACTGCACAGAGCTTCTGCCCTGAATACCTGCTTTCTTCCCTACCATGCCCACCAGCCTAGATTCTTCTTCCCATCTATCCTGGACTCTTTAGAGATGTCTCCGGCTCTGCCTATTTTCCATAGCTTTTCCAAAGGCACTTCCTAACTAGGAGTACCCAAGTCTCCTCAGGCTTCAGGCCCCATTTCCAAGTCTTTCCATCCCTTCACATCTCCCCATGAAATCTCTCTCCACGCACCCTTCCCCAGGGTCTAGAACAACATGTAGAGCTGGGGACAACATGTAGTCTGCCTTGGCTTTGTTCTTCATAGGAATTTAAAACTCCAAGATCCACACAGCTCTGCATTTGTTCAGGGGGCTCTCTAGAGTGTCTCCTAGGGTTCCTTGTGTCTTTTGGGGCCCTTCCCCAAGAGGTTGGTGTGGCAGAGTGGCTAGACGCCAGGTTTCCTGTGCTGCCTCTGTTCCCGTGTAACCTCAGGCAAGTAACTGGACACTATCTAGGCCTCATTGCCCCAGTGGGGTGCCTTCAGGTTTGAAGGCATTCATGAATGTAAATGGTTTGGAAGCTTGACAGAGCAGGGAGAGATGTCCAGGCCTGAGGGCACCGGGTTTCACTTGGGGTCGAAGGGCCTTAGCCCCATCCTATGGGTCTAGTCTACCAGGAAGGCGTTCTGCCCAATATGGCTGAAGAAGGAGGGCTTATTGTCTCCCTCCTTAGGCACTGAGACAGCTGGGGTTATCTTTCCCGGGGCAAGGTCGTTATTTCAATAGCCCAGAGAAAAAAAAACACACACACACACACACACACACACACACACACACACACACTTGCTCTGCACGTTCCTAGTCCCAGGAATATTTAATGGCAGGTACAGAGCCCAAGGCTCTTGCTTGCAGACAGCCCCGTCGTCTGTAAGGACTGAGCTCTGCAGCTTCACCTGAACGTAGATGTGGGTGCCTCATCCCTCTCTTGAAGGCCAGACCCCTGGACAAACCCGTCTCCTTGGGGTAGCCGGCTGCCCTGCCCTGATTTAGGGACTGTTCCCTAAGGGGCACACACACCGCAGCATTGGACCAAGCTCAGGTTGCCACCGAAGTGGGCCTCTCCGAGCACGAGCACAGGGTACACCACGGCGCCGTGACCGCCCCAAACAGGAAGCTCGCCTCCGAGGGAGCAGGCGAGAGGAGAGGGAGGATTAGGGATAAGGGCCCACTGGAAAAATGACCGGAACCGAGTTTACCCTTCCAGAGACTAACAGCCGTTGAAACAGCGCCTCCGGATCAAGGGGAGAGACCAGGGGAAATGCAGACAACGGGCGGGGCTGACGGCAAGAGCAGGCAACAGACCCACAGTGGGCGGACTCGGACCCCATCGGGCCCTTCAGCAGTGGTACCACTGGGACTGGCGCTTTGCCCAAGACAGCACCGCCCAGAAGGCTCACCCAGGAGAAGTGAAACCCTTTGCGGTACCCCCGCCCAGAATAACAAGCCACCTCTCACCGCAGCCTAAGACCGGCCGGCTGCACCCCAACGCGCGCGCACACACACTCACACATATACACACACACACACACACACACACGCATGCACACGCCTTCCTGCTTATCCATCAGGGCGAGGGCATCCACTCTGGAGACCGTTTTGCACAGCTGCCTTGTGACGCGCAGCTCTGTTTGTGGGGGTGCCCTGGGCCGGCCAGTCCAGGCCAGTTCACCTGCTGCCGGCTACCTGGGGTGAAGGCCCGGACGCGCCCCAGTCCGTCCTGCAGCGCCCTCCAACGGAACACAGGGGCTTCTTCAGGCCCGAAGGTTACCAGGTCCTTAGCTGAGTCTGTACTCAGCTAAGGACAAGCACTCTCATCCAATGCTAACGAACTCACCCATACCTGTGGAGTTCGAAATGCGCGCCCCGGGGGCGGGGGCTCGCCGCGTCGCAGCCATCTTCTAGCTAACTCGTGAACTGTGACTGCCAGAAGCACCCTCACGGAGGAATCGCGCACACTCCACCAACGGACGCAGTCTTGGTTGGCATTCACATATCGAACACATGGACCATCATTGTGTACACACGCCTTCCCTGTAAGTGAAACTTCTTTCCAAAGTGGACGCTTTGCAGGGATCGGGCCCCTGAGCTGAGCGTAGGTCGGAGGCACAGAGAGCCCCGCCATCTCCCGGACCTCGCTTCCGCGGACTGGGAAGAAGACCTCCCGCCTGGTCAAGCCAAAGAATTCGGTGGTCTCCTGAGTGGAGCCCACGGTCCCGACACTCAGGGGCCGTGGGGTCCCTGAGCCTGTGCACCTGGATGGCGGGTATGCCCCGAGGTCCGCCAGTCCGCTGGCCGCCACGCCTCCGCCGCCGACAGGAGGTGCTGTTTTGACGCTTTGCTTACCCCTTGTGCGATCTGGGCCTAGAAAGGCAAACTTAGTTCTAAGGCTGGCGCTCAGCAAATTGCTCCCAGGAAGAGTGCGAAGGAACTGATTTCATTCTCTGAAAACAGCTCAACCAGAAATCCCCGTGTGGTGACCATCCAGTGCGTCCTCAGACTTCCGAAATAAAAGCCACCCTGTCAGAAGTCAGTGGGCCACGCCAGACCTAAGCATAGCGAGCCAATAGCGAAACCTGTGTGGATCAACTAGATTCCGACTCAGCAAATCAAAATCGTTTTGTTGCTGCTGCCTGGTGCAATCCCCAACCAAGAATAAATCCAGAGCATATCTACATTTTATATCTGACCTCTCCTTAGCTGAGAAAGCAAACTGCTGGGGCAAAGACTAGCTTCTTTTTATTTGGTGAACAAAATCAGTTTCTCTACAAAGGTGCCCTGCAAGGCCCGAACTGGGGTGAGATGAGTGATGCACTTGTTTCCATTGCAAAATATAAAGAGGTGCCAAAAATCTCAGGAATCCAGAGTAATATTTTAACGTAATGTCTTTAATGATAAAAACGAATACAAAAACATCCAGGACAAACAACATATCTAAACTTGAAATAGAATCTGACAGGGCCAGGAATCCAACCTTCCCCGATCTTTTTGTTCTATCAATCTCTCTCTGGGATGATGCCTACACACTCATTCGCTCAAATCCAGTCCTGCCTACCAGCTTTTACAAGTGCCACCTCTTCTTCCAAAGTTGAAACAATTCATGTGATCCATTTCTTCTTGGAGGAGCTTGTTACCGTTTTTGAATCAGTGTATTTTGTGACTCAGTTTGCCTGACTTCTTCAGCTTTCTGGTGGGTCCAAAAAATTATGATTGTATAGATTATCCAGCTTTTCCATATTGTTAGGGTAGGAGTGATATGCTTCTGTTGCTTTTGAAATTGTAAGTAGGAACAGAATCCTTTTAACACCATTTTAACACTTGTAATCATACAGTTCAGTGGCAATAATTATATTCCCAATGTTGTGCAAATCATCATCATTATCCATTTCCAGAATTTGTTTGTCATCCCAGTTGGAAACTGTATTTGACAATAATCCCTACTATTCCTTCTACCAGCCTCTGGTAACTTCTATTATACTTTTTGTCTGTATGAGTTTCCCTATTCTGGGTGCCTCATATAAGTAAAATCCTACAATATTTGTCTTTTTGTGTCTGTCTTTCGCTTAGCATAATGTCCTCAGGATTCATCATGTTGTAGTATGTGACAGGATTTTATTCCTTTTTAAGGTTAAATAATATATCACTGCATATGTATATATGACATTTGGTTCATTATTTTATGTGTTGATGAATATTTAGGTGGTTTTCACCTTTTGGCTATTGTTGATAATGCTGCTATGAAATTGGTGTACAATTATCGATTTGAGTCTATGCTTTCTTTTGTGTATTTTCTTTAAAATATAGTTTTTAAAATTGGAACTTATTTTTATTTTAAATGTCATGTAAACTTATACACTAAAATTCAGAAGAGAAAGAAATTATTCTTATACAATTAGTGTATTTTCTTCCTGTATTTTTATGCTCATTTATTTTGCATTAACAATAATATGTTATGTAAGATTCCGGGGGAAGCAAACTTAGTTGGAGATTTGTGTGCCAAAAGGTAATTGGGAGGAATCCCTCGTATCAACACCTATAAGGGAGTGAAGAAAGTAGGAATGGGCAGAGAGAAAAGTTGAACTGTACAGGAAAGACCTATCTCACAGGCAGCCCTAGAGCTGGGCTAGGACTTCAGAGTTGTACCAGCTTCAGGCAAGGAGCCTGAGCCTTTATGCCTCATCGGAATAGGGCCAGCTTTATTGGCATATGACCTGTGCAATCACACAGGGCCCCTATACTCAGAAGGGCCCCATGCTTAGTTTAATGCTCTGCTATTACTGTCATGAAGTTCCTAATAATTTTGGAGTAAGAGCACCCATATTTTCATTTTTCATTGGACTTTGCAAATTATGTAGCTGGTCCTGCCCTCAATCATGCATTCAATGAGATTTTTTCCCAGGAAGGATCTAGATATTGATCAACACAACTCCCTCTGGCTGAGAGCCATTTTCAGAAAGTGACTCATCTGAGAGCTCTCAGCCACCATATTCCAGTGGGGCTGGAGGAATGCAAGACTCAGTCCTGAAAGTGAGATTTGGGCAGTACACAACAGCAGCCACTACAAACAGCTTCAGACATGTACCACTCTCACACAGCTGTAATTATTGTGTCTATGTACACACTTGTCTACTTTGTACCTATCACATCACAGACATTTTCAGTGAAACTGCGTTGTCTTCATAGCTATGCCTTTTGACTATAATATTTCAAGGACATTTCAAGATGTATTTTACTTCACAATTTCATTTCCCTCATCAGTCATTATTTCTATATCTATTTTACTATTTCATTGTATGTAATTTTATTACCAGAACCTCAAATTTTCTGTGACAACAAGGGATACAAACTTATCCATTGATTTATTCTTGGTCAGTTAGGTTTCTAACTTATTCCTATCGAGTAATGTTATAATGAATATCTTTCTTTCTTCAGAGTTTTCCATGTTTGAGATTATTTCTTGGTGTAGATTATATATAGAATTATTAGATGAGGTAGGCCATTTTGGTGGCTTTGGATAGAAATTGCTAAATTGTTCTCCCAAAAAAAAAATCAATTAGATATTTTAGTATCAATATCAAATATCAGTAGACAAGGGAGTATCTCTTTCATGGCATCATGGCCATTATTGTGGGTTTAAAATGTTTTCTGCTTATCATGTTTTTTAAAATATTATTCTTATTTAATAGGCAAAATAGTACTTCAGAGTTTGTCAGCAATTTACTAAGAAAAAACTGAAAAATTCAGAAAAATTGAAGAACTTGTACAATGAATACCCATGTACCCAATACTTAAACTTTAAAATTTTGCTGTATTTGCTGTAACACATATTTAGATATCTATTTATCCCTCTGTATATGCATTAATGTGTATTATTTTTAACTTATCTCAAAGTAAGTTGCATTCAACAGGACACTTCACCCTACACACTTTAGTATGCGTATTGTAGAGTTCAATATTTGCTTGCTGGTCCTTTTTAGGGAAAAAGTTTCAATACAATGAAATGCATAAATTTTAAGTACACAGTTTGATGGGTTTTGAAAATGCATACCCCTACAAAATATAAACCTACAAGAAAATACAGGATGATACCATTGTGCCAAAAAGTTGCCTCATGCCCCTTTCCATCAAACTCTGCCCCCAATACCTGCCCCCACCTTCCCAAAGGCAACTGCCATTTTCAGCTTTTTAAAAAATCATAGTTTACTAAAGGGAGCTCCAGAACTCCATGTAAATGGACAGATACAGTATGTATGCTTTGAGATACACATTTTTTCACTTGGCATGTTTTTGAGATTCATCCATATTGTTTGATGTACCAGCAGATTTTCCTCCCCCGTTTTATTGCTGAGTAGAATTCTATTGCATGAATACACCCAGTTATTTATTGATTCTCCTGTTGATATACACCTGGGTTACGTCCAGTTTTTGGGTTTTCTGAATTAAGCTGCTGTGAATTTCAGAGATATTTTATTTTGTGTTTTTATTATGAGTGAAACTGTGTCTTTTCATGTTTGTTTAGCCATTATTAGTTCCTCTTTAATGAATTATGTATCTACTCATGGCCTTTGTTTAATAATTTCTTGGATTTTCAAAGGTTGTCTTATATGTGTTTAAGAACTGTTTAAATAGTAAATGTATGGCCATGTGCAGTGGCCACACCTGTAATCCCAGCACTTTAGGAGGCCAAGGTGGATGGATGACCTGAGGTCAGGAGTTCGAGACCAGCCTGGCCAACATGGTGAAACCCCGTCTCTATTAAAAATGCAAAAAATTAGCCGGGCATGGAGGTGGGCACCTGTAATCCCAGCTACACAGAAGGCTGAGGCAGGAGAATCACTTATACCTGGGAGGAGGGGGTTGCAAAGAGCCAAGATGGCGCCATTGCACTCCAGCCTGGGCAACAAGAGCAAAACCCCATCTCAAAAAAAAAAAAAATTAATTAAAATAAATAGTAAGTGTATTACCTCCATAACTATCTTACTTGTAGTTTGGTATTTAACTATTTTCATAACTTTTATTTGGTCAGTGATGGCTAATTCTCAATATTTAATTATAAGATAGAGGTCCTATTTTCTAATGTATTCTGAAATAATCTGAGAGGATTACTTATGTAATATTTTTAACAAATTTTTTTTCTCTTCAGAAACTTAATACCACTATTGCCAGAATACATACCACATACACACATACATACTCACACATAAATATTTACAAAGAAAAAATAAGTGGTTTAAATTTGATTTTAAATTTATATGTAAGTTCTAGGATATTATTAGATTCATAGCTGAGAGCATATTGTGAAGTTCTGAAATTGAATAATATGTCACATAGTCAAAATGCATTCTTTCAAAATTTTCATTTGCCCTAGGATAATAGTTACTGTAAAACTGTATTTCAGACCTTAGGTTAAAATACACTTTTAGACCAAGCCACGTGGAAGACAATATTTTTTAAAGCCTGGTCCTTTCTGTATCTTGGCACAGTTTAAAGATCTCTAATTAACTGGAGTGTTCCAAATTGCACAGAGATTATGGTTTTTGAAGGAGACAGCCAAAAGCCTTCTGTTAAAAGGCCTATTAAGAGAGAACTTAAAAAGGAAATAAAGTGATTGCTAGCCTGCTGTGTATTCAGTTATTATTAGAGAGAACTGTATTACTTCTCTTTGGTGGTCGGGGAGCGGGGGTGGACATCGAATCCAGGTAGCAGGGTACCAAGATGAAGATTCTGCTTAGTGATCTGGCAGTGATCTAATAATTCTGAATTTGAAAAACTACACCAAGGAAATTATTTCAGACATAGAGAACACTGTATGAAAGGGATGTTTATTATACCACTATTTATGTAGCTTTACCACAAGAAAACCC